ATATATATTAGAGTGGGCCAATTTTTTGCATATTGAGGCACCTCGCTAATTTAACTTTTTACATCATTTGAAACAATATTGTAAAAAAAAGCATAACCCGCAAATGAATTTAAAGTCAGCGAAAAATTTCAACATTTTTTAATTTAAAGTAAAAATTGAAAAATCTCATGAAAAATATATTATGACATATATCGAGTTATACATCATTTTATTCGTAATTTTATTCTGCATCTTTCGTACGAACAAAGTTTTTTTGTATCTTTACGGTTTAGACAGTATAAGGCAATCTGTGTAGTTGTTAACTTGTCAAAATGCAAAGTGCGGATAGGTTAGAGCAACACTCCTCACGATTCGATATTTCTCTAAAGAAAACATATAAACTATTATACATCATTAGAAAGGTCTCAAAATTCTTAGTTCTTTTTCCATACATCACAACTTCGAATTTTGCACGGTGTGGCCTACAGGCGAGTTGCCGTTATGAAAATCGGAAAATCTAGAGAAAATTATATGAACACACCTAACCATTTATATACCATTTTATTCGTAATTTATTCTGCATCTTTCGTACGAACAAAGTTTTTTCGTATCTTTTACGGTTTTTATGTTATAGAGCAATATGTGTAGATGTTAACATGTCAAAATGCAAAGTGCGGCTAGGTTGGAGCAATACTCTTCACGATTCGATATTTCTCTAAAGAAAACATATAAACTATTATACATCATTAGAAAGGTCTCAAAATTCTTAGTTCTTTTCCCATATATCACAACTTCGAATTCCCAACGGTGTGGCCTACAGGCGAGTTGCCGTCGTGAAAATTCGGAAAAATCGGAAAATCTCGAGAAAATTATATGAACACACCTAACCATTTATATACCATTTTATTCGTAATTTTATTCTACATCTTTCGTACGAACAAAGTTTTTTCGTATCTTTTACGGTTTTTATGTTATAGAGCAATATGTGTAGATGTTAACATGTCAAAATGCAAAGTGCGGCTAGGTTGGAGCAATACTCTTCACGATTCGATATTTCTCTAAAGAAAACATATAAACTATTATACATCATTAGAAAGGTCTCAAAATTCTTAGTTCTTTTCCCATATATCACAACTTCGAATTCCCAACGGTGTGGCCTACAGGCGAGTTGCCGTCGTGAAAATTCGGAAAAATCGGAAAATCTCGAGAAAATTATATGAACACACCTAACCATTTATATACCATTTTATTCGTAATTTATTCTGCATCTTTCGTACGAACAAAGTTTTTTCGTATCTTTTACGGTTTTTTATGTTATAGAGCAATATGTGTAGATGTTAGATGTTAACATGCAAATGCAAAGTGCGGCTAGGTTGGAGCAATACTCTTCACGATTCGATATTTCTCTAAGAAAACATATAAACTATTATACATCATTAGAAAGGTCTCAAAATTCTTAGTTCTGTTCCCATATATCACAACTTCGAATTTGCAACGGTGTGGCCTACAGGCGAGTTGCCGTCGTGAAAATTCGGAAAAATCGGAAAATCTAGAGAAAATATATGAACACCACCTAACCATTTATATACCATTTTATTCGTAATTTTAATCTGCATCTTTCGTACGAAAACAAAGTTTTTTCGTATCTTTTACGGTTTTTATGTTATAGAGCAATATGTGTAGATGTTAACATGTCAAAATGCAAAGTGCGGCTAGGTTGAGCAATTACTCTTCACGATTCGATATTTCTCTAAAGAAAAAATATAAACTATTATACATCATTAGAAAGGTCTCAAAATTCTTAGTTCTTTTCCCATATATCACAACTTCGAATTCCAACGGTGTGGCCTACAGGCGAGTTCCGTCGTGAAAATTCGGAAAAATCGGAAAATCTAGAGAAAATATATGAACACAACCTAACCATTTATATACCATTTTATTCATCAATTTATTCTGCATCTTCGTACGAACAAAGTTTTTTTTGTATCTTTTACGGTTTAGACAGTATAAGGCAATCTGTGTAGATGTTAACTTGTCAAATGCAAAGTGCGGCTAGGTGGAGCAATACTCTTCACGATTCGATATTCTCTAAAGAAAACATATAAACTATTATACATCATTAGAAAGGTCTCAAAATTCTTAGTTCTTTTCCCATATATCACAACTTCGAATTCCCAACGGTGTGGCTACAGGCGAGTTGCCGTCGTGAAAATTCGGAAAAATCGGAAAATAGAGAAAATTATATGAACACAACCTAACAATTATATACCATTTTATTCGTAATTTTATTCTGCACTTTTCGTACGAACAAAGTTTTTTCGTTT